GTGAAGTGTGTAGGAGAAACTATAGTGGCCTCAAAACTCGCGAAAAAACATGAAAGTCTCTGTCTACAGTCAGCGTTTAGTTTGTCCATTCACCATGGTCCACTGGACGACAAGGTGATTGGCGGCGTCTGTAGATAAAAACGGCTTATTATGTTATAGGTAACAAAAACACAACGATTCCTATATTCAGATGATTACACACTAATGAAAACATACATCTGAATATTATATTCCATTTCTGCCAATAGATCCTCCTAAATGTCAACACTGGATCTTTAAATAACTTTGGTGAACCTCTGACTTTTTAAATTTTTTAATATATATTTTGGTTTATAACCAAATAACTAAATAATAAATAATTAGAATCAGAATTAGGTTTATTGCAAATGTTATCATGCTGACATTGACGCAGATAGAGTTTTATTAGTTCATTCTACCTGTATTGTTTGTGTTACACTGGCAAGCAGTCCAGTGGCCTAAATTTCCTTGTACTGCGAGGTACCTCTGCGCCAAGTGCCTTTTCCTCCAGAGACCACTGTGTTTTAAACCTCACCACAGGTGGCCTTTTAACCATGTATCTGTGTGTGCATGTGTGTAGGAGAGAGATAAAGACGGTGGAAAAGTACTTCAGCATGCACACGTAAAACATGCATATATGCTAGTGTTTGCATATATGTATGCATGTTTTTGTTTTGGTAAATCTTGTTTGTTGCCAGGCCGTCACGTGTTACTTGCACGTGTATGCTCAACCCAACCAACCAACAATATGCTAGTCTGTGTGTGTGTGTGTGTGTGTGTGTGTGTGTGTCTGGGTGTCCAGAACTGCCAGAATTAAGCATCCATTAAAAACAATTCAAAGCTAATAGAGTTAGGCAATCTCACAAGCTTCCAGTCACTGGTGTAACACACAATAGTGTGTTGGTCCGGGAGTGGGTGAGTGAATGAATGAGTGTATGTGTGTGTGTGTATGTTGGCAGAGAGAGCCCAAGGTGTCCGGCCAGAAGAGTGATCAGAATACCAGTCAGGATTACTTACAGGATAAAGATCATATGGTATTCTGGCCCACTTTTTAACACCAAACAAACACAAACATTATCTTTCTCCTCTCCCTCTCGCCCCTTTATTCTTTGTTTCTCACCTCATAAATAGCCAGCTACTTGTGAATGGGGATGTGTGTGTGCGGACACACAAATATACACACATTCAAAGTGGTTCAACAAATCATTGTACTTAATTAGCAAAATCCTTTTTCAGATGTACAGACAGATAGATAGGTAGGTAGGTTGGTTGGTAGGGAGGTAAATCACCAATAGCTGACTTAATCTAACCAGGGTTCACCTATTTAACACTTTATAAGACATTAATTATTCCACAATGCAAATAACAATCCACACTAGGTGAAAGCTGGACTGAATCAAGTGCTCCTTGTCCCCCTCTGCCTTACATGATCTATAAGTATTGCATAATTTCTGACTGGTCACATGGCCAAACAGACTAGCTCTCTACAGCGGCTGAACTCTTGAACGTCTGAGAAAGTGTGGGGATTAATGAAAAAGAAAAAAAGGTATTGTGACGAAGTGAGAAAAAAGGAAGGTTCGACAGCAGGGAGGTGAGAAAGAAAGCACTTAAAACACACTCAAGAGGAGCCTCTTACCACCGTGGTGTTCAGTGGTTGTTGTTTTCCTGCTCTCTTCCTCTGTTTCTCCCTCTCCTGTTGTAAGATCTGCCAGCTCACATACTGTCGTTGATTAACTGGAAATATAATATTTTTAGCTGTGTTGGTGATGGAGCGGTTGGCTGTTGGTCAGTTTGTTGTTGACTCAGTCGGTTTAAACCACTTTGGGCTGGATGGGTACAGGAAGCAGAGCCACCTTTAGGGGTCGCTAGCAGGTGTTTTCAAAAATTTCAATTATTGACAAAGAGACATGTGAAAGAAACAGCTTGTCACTCTTTAACTGTGTTTTGCAGGTCCACATGAAGATGAGTAAGCGGTACTTGCTTGTTTGCTGTTTACCCAGAGTCAGATGAGAGGATCAACGTCAATTTCCTTTCATTGTATGCAATACATACATAGGTCTGGGATGTGTTTCGCTTCGCTTAGTGCCACAATTCTAGGCAATTCAAGAACTAATACATGCCAGCGAGTGCATGCATTTACACTCTGCCTTTCAGTGTGAGTCTGGATAACCTTGAGCTGGCAAAGCCCCAGTTCAATGTCTGCCATATCAACTTTTGATGTCACTTTCTGTGTCTAACATGGTGACCACGAACGATTGAGAGTCAGAGTTTTGATTCTGAAGAAAGAGACGAAGACAAAGTGTAAAATGGGCGACAATTGTGGGAAGACGAGGTAAACGGGTTAAGCTAGCTACTAAAAAGTAAAAAAATATGTGTAAGATTAGCACCAACATTGTGTTTTTTTACCTTGAAAGTGGCACTGTAAATGTTTTTTTTTCGAATGTGCAGCCATACGTTGATCAAGCTGCTGGAGTGGTGTGAGAAGTTTCCGGGGATCATTTGATATTTAAATTTTTTTACTCGTCACTGGACTCAGCTACAACATCACTGTGCCTGTAAAGGCTAAACTGAAAACCTTTTAAAGTCATTACTGAAGTGGGTCAGTGCTTGACACAGAAAAAAATAGCTGTGATTAGCCTTCAACAGTTGTTATTGTTGCCTGCACTATTTTTGCATTTGGGTAGTGCTTGGTGTAGATATTTTTTTGAGGTAGCACTGAAGATTTTTGTTTTCCATAAGATGTCGTAGTGATCCAGTTTCACTCGCTCGTTATGTTTCCATACCTGGTTGTTGTTGGTATTAGAGTAAAGTTTCACAGATGGAGTTACTTTAACACAAATTTATTTTAGCATTAGTGCAACTCGACAATACAATACCTCAATTGCAAAAACATATAAACACTAACTATGCAAATGGATTAGTTTAGTTTGTAACAATATAAAAACTACTGATTTCAGCTTAAAGGTCCTGTTTGTTTAGGACATCTATTGGAGGATATATTGGCAAAAAATTTAATATAATATGCAAACTATGCTTTCATTAGTGTATAATCACCTGAAAATAAGAATCATTATAATTTTCTTACCTTAGAATGAACCAATTTAATCTATAGACGTAGATAAAATTGGTCATCTTCCGTGTTGAACCACCATGTTTCTACAGTAGCCCAGAACAGACAAACCAAACACTGGCTCTAGACAGGGCTTTTGGCGCTTGGAAAGAAAGGATAAAGTAAGGTGTTTTAAATATACTGTATTGGGTATCACCATCAGCTTTCCGTAGATATGTTTATCCCTATATAGGGGAAAAGAAAGGAACAGGGAATAAGATCATAGGTGAAATGCAAGCTGGCATACTATAAGACAGACTTGCACACATACAGGTACAGAGACAGAAGTGACTCCCACCTGTTCACCACCCTCTGTCTATCTCTCCTTCTATCTTTCCTTCTCACTTTCTCTTTCAATTCACTCTTTCTCGGTTTAATTTCGTGAAAAAAAAAAAAGAAGAGACCACAGGTTGACCACAGTGGACATTCCTGCAGTACAAGCCTGACTTCCTGTGAGACATTTCATCCTGTTATAGTGATTCAGTTTCACGCAGAAACCCAAGCAGGCGACATACGCATGACTGCCCAGCATCAAACAGGTTGTGTGTGTCTGTGTTGTAAAGTTTTTGCGTTGCATCTAAATATTTTCTGTCCCCTGTTCTGTTTCTCTGCATCTCAGGTTGAGTTTACCCAGAGCGTCTAAATACCCAAAGTCATCTTACAACGCCATCATGCCCACTGCGTCTGACCTCTCCGTTGCCATTGACAACCACATCACGCAGGGAGAGAGACATATCATCTGGAGGGCCCAGCTCCACAAAGAGCCCCCGCCGAGGTTGTCCGACCCGTTGCTTGACCAGAGTGATAATGTGCTACAGGAAGAGCCAGCCTGGCAACGTGGGTCACGGGGTCGTCGCCATGCCAACAGTGGCGGCGGAAGGGGCCACGGACATCTCATGAGGGTCGGGTGTGTCCTGGGCACCTGTCAGGTTCAGAACCTCAGCCACCGTCTCTACCAGCTGATTGGACAGAGCGGGAGGGAAGACTCCTCCCCCATTAACCCTCGCAGCCCCCACAGCTACGGCTAAGACCACACCTCGAATCTAGCCAGGCGCCTTTTATTGACAAATGTTGGCAAGTTACCCAGGTCCTTTGTTGCATCAGTAAACATAATCGCTGGCTGGATTATGTTTTTTGAGTGAGTGAAGAGCTACCTTTATGTAATATCACAGGGAGGTGGTCAGAGTGGACAGCAAGCATACAAAGCGTAGGAGCAGAGTTCGAAATACTTTGACAGTCACATATTGGTGTGTTCAGTAACTTGCCAGGTACACTAATTAACAACATTTTCTCATTATATTAGTAGAAAATGTCATTCTCTCAAAACATATTGACTGTTCCAAATTAGTAGTATATGCAGGTAATTTCTAGGTAACAAGGTTCGTCCCTGACCATCAATCAATGATGTCAACAATCGATCAAAGAATGATGAAGATGAAGATAATTATGGTTTAATTTGGGGTCTTATATTTGTAGTTTTGAGTATCATTCTTATTGGTAATAACATTTTCTTTACATTACACAATAACATTGTGCTAAGATCTTGGAATGTGGAGACATTGCTAAAAAAGAAGTCAGACCGTGCAAGAAACACAATCAGACAGACTTTAAATAAATCACCAGGTCGGCCAAACAGGGTGAATAAAAGGGGGAATTATTACCCAAAGTGCAGAGAAACTTGCACGGTAGGGGTTACATGGCAGATGGAGACAGCCAAAGGCATCAGTAGGCCGCCTTTTGGTAGTCCTGTAGGCTTGACAACAGGTAATCAAAAATCAGGTAACTAGTCATAAAGCACATATTCTTTAATCGTAGTAGAATCAAACTTTACTGTTCTGGATCTCTCTCACTGCTTTCATAGTTTTTGGCTGCAGGAGGCAGCTGTTTTCAGCCAAAAAGTTCTGAAAGCTGACTGTACGTCACCTGCTCAGCACCAAACAGACACAGTTACGAGTTTGCCAACAAAGTGGAGCATTTAGCAGCTAAAGCATATCCATTGTATTTTTGGTACTATGGTATAAGCCCCACGTGACCCTTACTTTGCAGTTTGTATCGGTGCCTCAAGAGACATCCCACAGTTTACAGGCCAACCTCCTGGTTTAACTTATTACCGCAAACATTGTAGTTTGGTTTTTACCTCCATAATAAAGCGGTTTAGATAAACTGGCTTAACCATTGGCTTGTTTGATCAGCTGACTGAGAAAACACATTGGGTTTCTTGCGCCATCAGACTTTGATGTATAGATGTTACCATGTTCCCAGATCTAAGTAGTTACTCCGGTGAATACAATGTTATATAACCTGTGGATGATGGTAAATACGATGAAAATACGTTATAATAAACCAGTATATCTGTATTTTTCACATCATGTTTCCTTTAAGAACTGTTATTGCCCATTACCACCACTTAACTGCGGTGAAACGAGTCCTAGGGGTTTTAGGATTTATATAGTAACTACCATTGAGACAGTATATGTAAACAAGAAGAACTGTGATCCAGAGAAGCCTCTTTAAAACTGGCCTACCTGACTAATGTCTACTATCGTCATCAATGGTGATCCTGCTGATCTGAATTTACCTGAGCTCCAAGCTAATCCACGCTGTTCCTTAAAAGCACCCTCAGCTCCCTCTGTGAACAAGTAGCTTTACTTCAGTGGGGACAGAAACCAAGAATAACTTCCAATCAAACCCAGTTAACCTTTCACCCAAAACCCCACAGAGCGCACAATTAGCCAAAATAACCACTAACCCTAATCCATCCACTGTCTGTACGCATCTTAACAGATAGCTTGTCCCTTAACAAGTGAACCAGAAAGAGGACAACTACACTGTAGAGTGATTTTTTTTACCTGCAAACTGCATTATTCTGATTGTTCTCACTATAAAGTCTGTTTTTGAGCCTTAATTGGTTTAATTATTTGCCTTATATTGTTTTGCCTATCACCTACATAAATTAAGCATTATGGTAAATGTTGACTATTAAAGTGTTATTTGAAACTTTATAGTCGTAGTCCATATAGAACGATGCTAGTTCATTATAACTGCAGTTTCAGTAGTTGTTCTTACTGGTTAAACGTTAATAGAAATGCATGAAAGCACTTTATTTTTCTTTACATTCAGTATGACTTGAATTTTAAAAATGTGTTATTTAACTTAAAGTAAATGAGATCGTTTTGCTGTAAATATCCCACTTTACTAAATCTTCATGTCCATGAGTTCCTTCAAGGTACAAGTGTCCTTTTGTAAAACCGCCTGTGTTGCTTTCATCTAATACTTTGTTTTTACAATAGCAGAGTTGTGTAATAAAACTCCAGTCAAACCATTGTGTGTTTTATCTGTCTATACAGCAGTCCGAGGTGCGAATGTGACTGTCAATGCCTGCATAGTTTATGATTGGAAAATGTGTCTCACACCATGTTATTGATAATGATTACTAATCTGGGCTACTACACACACTTTAACACACACTACATTTAAAGGCCCATGAGACTAAAGGACAAGGAAGGTGAAAAGTCCAAACCAATGCCACAGAATGTGTCAAGTTCACCATGACATTACATATCTGTGTGTGTGTATGAACAGCCTCAAACACGTCTATCTTCTTTTAATGACAATGCACAATGTTCAAAAGTACAAGACAATTTTTCCTTCATTCTAAACAGTGTATCTCAGCTAATTCATGCAGCTAATTTTAGTTTCGGTTCTCCAATAGTAAGTAAAAAATGTTTCAACCTTGTAATAATAGAATAATAAATTACTAGCACAAACAGATTTGTTAAAAGTCCTCTGTGGAATATTTAGGAGGATCAATTGGTAGAATTTGAATATAATATTCATAGGTGTGTTTTCATTAGTTTTCATTTCATTACCACTACATTTTACAAATTACAAAGTGATTTAAGAGAATCTGTGGCATGAACCTGTTTATCTTTCTCTCTCAGTTTAAATATGATGATCAGGGTTAGAAGCTCCTGCGGTGTGAAGTTCTTCTAAGACTTTTGTTAGTGTACTGTAACTTGCCCACAAACAGAGTTGAACAGGTAGCCTTATATAATGTGCACATCCTTATGATCTGCTGACACTCATTAGGCTGAAACGAGTGATCAACGACAAGTTTGTGCAGTTAAGAGAGTTTGGTGAATCCGACTCGAATCACTCTTACAAGCCAGTCTTACAGAAAAAGGAAGAGTAATGCAGTAAATGTGAGACATTTTATCCACTGTCAGAAGAAGAAGACAGATTTTAAAGGGAGTCTAAGCAGCGGAGGACGAGATATCTGGTCTTTTAGTCTCTATGGGAAAAGCTCCAAAAACGCTGCATCCTACATTTCCCATAATGCATCTTCATAGCATTAATTAGACCCTTCCTCTGATCACTATGACATCATCAGGGTTATTTTTGGTAAACTTTGGACATTGTTTTCATAGGCTGAGTAACAAACAAATAAAGCAGAACCAGAGAGGTCTTCTGAGCGCCATCAACATACAAGCGCCATACAATTATTTTCACGTTTGTAGTACTCCACAAGACCTTTGAAAGACTTTAGTGGCATCTAGTGGTTTCAGATCGCAACTAACTGAATACCACTTGCGTCTGTATTTGACAACCTGGGAATGAGAAACAAAAGTAAAACTAGCAGAAAATGTTGGAGCTTTTCTCAACACAAAAGTAGTGTTTAATAGCTGGGTAGATAGCTCATGTGTTCAAACAAACAAACTGCAAAATGAAGCAAATTGCTTTACCCATTCAGATATTTTTTTGTGTACACATGTGTATCCAGGTACTGGCCTCTCTCTTTGTGAGTCCTGACCCACAAAATATCATTCAAATTAAATTAAAAGTTAATGTGCATCTTTTTATTATGCTTTAAAGCTGATATTCTGAAGAATTTCCTCTCATTCACACAGTCTGTCCAAAGTGTGTGAGAGGGACACCTGGTGGCCTTGACTCATGACAAACAGGTCCTCTGACGGCTTCAGCTGGCGGGAATCAATAAATTATGATTACCGGGTCATCGACTAGGGCTTGTTTGAACACTTTGGTCAACTTTACCCCTGGTCCAGCAAACAGAACAGGTTTCCTCCTAAGCAGTCACAGCAGATATCTGCAGATATCTGCCTGTGTTTGTTCGTTCCAACTGATACAATAAACTAGGAAATTTGATTCCTGGAAATCACCAGTCAGATCTTGTTGTATGCTTTATATAATGGGGTCAATGCCCAGAAATAAAAATTTATCACTAAAAGCTTATTTGGTTTTGTTTTATTTGTGTGTATTTTGTGGTTATGCAGCATTTAAGTCCAAGACAAATTTCCCTATAGGGACAATAACGTATATTTTATTGTATGTTTTGAAAGAAATACCTGTAAATCATTGTAAAAGTGCAACAACAAAAACTGTAAAACAAAGAACTACTGAGTCATTCTACATCAGTCCAAACAGGTAACCTGCTGATTATTGAAAAAGTCTTCCTGGGATGGACACACAAACAAATACACAAGGCCAAGGTTCAACACAGGGTACCCCATTAGGTGAAGTTTGGTTAAAGTGTGACTGGATATTGGTGTACACTTTATGTGTCGACGGTGCAGGCTGAAAGCATTACAGTTTAAACAGGCAGGGTATATATATGGGCAAGGAAGTGTTCAGTCAACTCCAGAGGACCAACGATCCACAACACAAGACTGCATCTGTCAACCATGAGGGTCATCAGCATCGTATGTGTGGCTTAAATACATACCAAGGCTATGCTTTCACTGTCATCATTTTGCCTTATCTATCTATTTTAGCTGCTTGTTAATCTCTGTGCTGTCATTTCAAACACAGGGTCCAGACCCATCTCTGGCATATCGGCCAAATCTGGAGAAGAATGAAACCAAAGAGAAGGAAGATTACAGAAACTTTGAGGTAAGATTGAAAGGGCTCCTTGTTCAATGCTGCATTAATTTAGACATGAGAAACACACGTCGTTATTTCAATTATGGGAGTGTTACAATATGCAAAGACACTACTGGACACATATGTAAAGAGGGCTTATTTAGAAGTGTTTTTAAAAAGAAGACAACTCTGAGCTCGGGTTTAAGAAAATTGCAAAAGATTTACCTAATCTGTGGACTAGATACTCAGACTGAGAGGACAATTTAACTTTATTTTCTGTTCAGGAGATGTGAATCTGAATGTGCAGCGTATAAATAAGCTTTTCAGAAACAATTTATCACAGGAAGTGACTACTTTCCCTAGTCAATCTCAATCATAATGAGGGCCAGGGCAGAGATGCAGAGCTGCGGCTGCCACAATTCCCCTGTTAAAACCTAAATCACACACATCATAATCTTACAGTACATCGCATTCTGAGAGGCTGTGTCATTTCAATGACTGTCCCTGGAGGGTGGCTTTAACTTACCTTCTCTCTCTGCACCAATTATTGGTATATTTTGCAATACATCAAAATTGCTAGACTGCACACTAGTTTGGCTGTCACAGGAACTTTTAATCATCAGTCATTTTCACTGATTATGTCTTCAAAAGTGGCGCATATATGTTGACATCCTATTTCCTTAATTCATATGATAGTGTGTTGTAATAACACATGATAAAATCCAGTTTGTGTTCACACTTCTTATGAAATGCTTTTTCTTTTAAAAATGGAGAGTACCGTCTCAGTAACGGTAGGTAACTCCATCTAAATGTTAAACCAGATTACAAAGGTGGGCTAAATAATTGGTGGGTCAGTGTATGTGCTACCTGCACGACACAATCTACTGTTGTTGTGTATCACCTGAGATCTTCAGCTTGTTTCATGCTCTGGGACTGTGAAAAAAAGTGATGTAGTACACTGCTAGACACTGTGTGTGTTGGGTCACGAGGATTGCCAAAAAAACATTTCTGCTACAGAAGATTTCCTGTGGAGTTGCTCAATAGCATTTTATAAACATGAGATGCTGTAAATCTGTTGCATTGCATTTGTGTGTCTTTCAGAGTGGAAGCCTAATTGACCGTGTGTTCAACACATACAAGCTAATGCACACTAACCAGACGCTGGACTTTGTAAAACAAAGGGTGAGCAAATCAGATACATGTGCACAAAAATTAGTCCCCAAATGTTAATCCTCTTTAATGAGAAACTGGAGGAGAAAAACACATCCAATATAAAATTAAATCTAATGGTGCATCAAAATATTTTTTTTAAAATATCAATTTTCAATTTTAATATCAGTGACGCTATTTTATGTAACTCAGTATTTTGTAAATTTGTTTTGCTCCAGATGACCAAGGGATCCTGTCAGACTGAGCAAACACATGTCACTCATCCAGTGCTCTAAAGTGAAAGTTAAACATAAAGAGCCAACAGACGTTCTGTCTAGACCAAATGTTGTTTAACTAACCTCATTTTAATTTCCTAAAGGTTACAAAGAGACACGTTCCTGTTTTTATATACGTGACCAAACCATGGTCACTTCTCTGGGACTGTTATGGAGAATGTTGTTAATGTTAAAAGAGGTGAAGACCTTTTAGTTTAATTTGACGTAGACTATGAATGGTTGCAGGTGAATAGTGCCACTTTTATTTCTGTTCACTGGATGCATTTATACGCATTTGAACAAAGCAAAAGCTTTAAATAACACACATGATTTTCTAATTAATTCCAGGCAAATCTGATCACATTATCCTTGAAAATTCCACAGAAAGCAATATTTCAAAAAGCTTTTTTTCCAGGATTGTTAAGAGGCTTTTCTATCATGTTAGAGAAAGAAAACTTCCCCATGGATACTGTGACTCTTACCTCCCTGCAGCACTATGAATGGACCGGGTGCAACCACACTCGGATGGGGATGATGGACGCCATCATGTCCCTAGACCAGCTGGTGGACGAGTCTGATCCTGATGTGGACTTCCCCAACTCCTTCCACGCCTTCCAGACTGCTGAGGGCATCCGCCAAGCACACCCAGACAAAGGTAGCATACAGAGAAATAGAGAGACAGAGAGAGAGAGAGAGGCACATATACAAGTCTGATAAACATCTGCATTCACCGTCACTCTGCAGACTGGTTCCAGTTGGTGGGTCTGATCCATGATGTTGGGAAGACAATGGCTCTTTGGGATGAACCCCAGGTAGGAAACAGGTTCAACACTGAGGAATATAAGTTAAATGTCCTACCTTAATGTCACACTTTTGTCTTCTCAATCTCAATATTTCTGCGACCCTTCAATAACCTCTAACTTTGTATATTTATATATATATATATATATATGGATATATAATTTATTCTAACAGCAGGCTATGTGTGCGCTCTGCAGTGGGCTGTCGTAGGCGACACCTTCCCAGTGGGCTGCAAGTTTCAAAACTCCATTGTGTTCAGAGACAGTACCTTCCAGGATAACCCAGATGACAAAAATCCCAGCTACAAGTAGGTATTTTCATATTACATTACCAAAGTCTGTGGATGAAGGTGTGATGAGCTTTAAATAAAGGAAAGCTATGACAATTAGCCAGCCAGTCACAAAGTATGTATGTATGTGTCCTGATCACTTTCAGATACGAAATAGCTAAATACAAAATTAAAAAACAACATAAATCCTACCACTAAACTTAAGAAGATGTATCTCAAGTTTCCTACACTTTGGCATCACTTTTGTGTGCCAGTTTTTTTGCCTTTTGTAACAACACATAAAAACATTGTTAAAATATCTTCTTGATATCTGTAGTCCATAATCCATCAGTTTTAATCCTCATAATGTTATAATGCCATTAAAAATTATTTTTGTTTATTTCATTACTACAGTTATCTACAGCACCTATAGGCTAGTTATTTGATGTACTAGTATTTTGTTCTGTTATGTAAAGATTTTATTTCTCTATTTAGAACTGAACATGGCATCTATGAACCAAACTGTGGGCTCGACAGTGTGCTAATGTCCTGGGGCCATGATGGTAAGAGATACATACAAACTCTGCTCTTACTCATCACATGCACAAACATCCACTATAACTTTTGAAGTCCTATTTATCTACAATACCGTACCTGAACTCCTGCATTGTTGTCTTCAGAGTATCTCTACAGAGTTATGAAGTTCAACAACTGCTCTATTCCTGAGGAGGTGAGTAAATTATAACATTCAATTATTGTTAAAAGTTATGTTTTGAACAATTAACTTCACAGTTGAAATGGGAGGGAACGATGGTGCAAGGATTTTCTTTCTTCACCTGCAGTGCTCACAGGCTCAGTTATGGATCTATATTTGTTTCCTCCGTCTCTTCAGGGGTTGTACATGATTCGCTTCCATTCATTCTACCCCTGGCACTCTCATGGAGACTACATGCAACTGTGCAATGACAAAGACCTGCGCATGCTGCCCTGGGTTCAAGAGTTCAAGTGAGTATCTTCCTGTTATTATTCTTATTATTTTTATTATTATAATTATTCCTACTTGGAGCTTTGACCTGAAGTTGCATCTTCCATCCTTTCCACAGCAAATTTGACCTCTACACAAAAACCACTGATCTGCCCGACGTCGACAATCTGAAGCCGTACTACCAGTCCCTAATAGACAAGTACTGTCCTGGAATACTGAATTGGTGAACGAGACAACACAGATATGTTGTCAGAAAACAGCTAATACACATATATTACTGATCACTGAATATATTTCTATCAACTATCTACTCAGAATATAACTATCTATATCTTACACTGTTATTAAAGAAACATATCATGATTGTTACAGATTTTCAACAAAAATAAATTCCAGAGAAGCCTTTTTATTTTACTGTATTTTAATGTTATAAAAAACATTTTAAAAGTACTACAATTTGCGTGAGGTTTCATTTCTAATACTGGCAGAAACAAAAGACAACTTTGTGGAAAAAAGGAAAAAGTGCAGACTTCTTTTAGTTCTGTACATACAGCAAAAGACCACAGTGACAATATACCTTATGCAAACACACAAACGCAACACAAACAGGAGACAAAGAGAAACATGAACAACACACATTTACTCTCTTGAAACAGAACCCACCTTATATATTTAATTTAATATTTCTCTCTACTTTCAAAATGATTTGTTCTGCAGACTAGATTTCATTTTGTTCAACTGAAGTCAGAACCAACCAGGTTGTTTCTGATGTAGACAACTGATATAGAGTATGAACAATGCACTGCAGTAAAGTGGCAAACATTTGAAGGCAAATTAACTTAATTTAATATAACTGGCTGATCTGGAAATACAAATATACACAGAACAATTCCTTTGGCCATTTTGGTTTTTATGAAGGCAGGTGGTGATAACGGCGATCTACCTTTTCAAAACTTTCTTTTTCCGAGGTTCTCATCTTTTTCTTTCCTGTCTTCTTCCTCTACCCCCTCCTCCTCCTCTTGTGCCTCATCCTCTTCTTCATCACCAACAGTGTCTTTCTCCTCTCCCTCGCCCTCCTCAACTTCACCTTCACTGCCCTCTCCATCTTCCTCCTCCTCCTCCTCCTCCTCAACTGCCTGCTGTTCACCTGACTTCCCACAATGGTCTGAACAGTCAGGTACATTTTCAGTGTGATCGCTCACAGTCGTGCGTTTGCTCCCGTTGTGCAATCCCAAGAGCAGACAGAGGGTGGTGCTGCAGACAATGAGGGTCCAGATTAGTATGGGGGCAGGAACACCTCTGACCTGAGAGCGCACCCACCTGACCGCCTGGGCAACAGTGGTGTTGGATATTCGACGTGGAGGCGCTTTGTCCTACAGACAAAATGAATATGAATCAATACTCGGCTGGAGTTTTTTCCTTTCTATCTCATTTTTAAAAGATAAATTTACCTTGAGTCCATATTGGTTTAGCATGCTCTCCAGGAAGGTGTTGCCCAGGTGCACTGTGGGATAGAACTCGTCATCATAGACCCTCCGCCACCAACGCTGTGGGTATGCACTGCAACAAAGACCAGCTAATCAGTAAATATCCTGTTGTTTGTGTGAGGTTACTAACAGCAAAGTTGCAGACTGTACAATAATCATATTCAATTAAACCATGTGTGACTTACATAATGTAGAATATACTTCAACATTTTTCAGATGAGGTTTTGAAGACGTAGGAAATATTAAGTGAACATGATGGCAGCATGCATACCTAAATTAATTTAATTCACACTCTTTTTTCGAATAGTGACAAAACAGCTGATAAATGTAATAAATCATGTTAGTACGTAAGTTTATTTCAGCACACACAGGTCACCTCAAAGCCAAGTATTATCAAATTTCTTCAGTGCATGTAAAACACACTGAGACAGAGGTAGAGGGACAAAGAGAGAGAGCACTGACCCGTCAGCCTTTGGCTCAGTGAACCAGTATCTGTAGCGGTGGGCTCGGAGGTAGGCGGGAGGCTGCTGGTGGAACGGATACTGAGACACATCAGTCTGGATCAACTCTATCACTGCAGAACATAAAACATTGCTTTCAGAGATCAACTTGTTCTTAAAAAACAAACAAAAAAAACACCCCGCTGTATTATTTTGGTAATTTAACACTGAATCATTACAGGTAGAGAACATTTTCTGCACTGTGCTCTGTGTGCTGAAACATTTTAGTACCTGTAACCCGGTGTAACAAGGTGTAACATGAGGTTTTAAAACAATAATTAAGATTACTTTTTATTGTGCTTTCATCACTCATCAAAGCTTGAAGTGCCTGCTTTTCTCGATTGTTCCACTTGGGGGCACCAAAGACAAGTTTTGAAATTCCACACATAATGTTCCTGACTGGGTGACAGTGTGAGCACAGCTGCACTGACACAATAGCCCAGGGCTAGATTCACTTCTCAACTGGCACTAAGTTTTGCTCCCTAAAAAGCAGTGCAGTGGTAGTTTTCTGCTCCGTTTAATTCTGTGTTGAATTGTCCTTTGGGGGAAGAGTGACAGGAGACCCAGCAACAAAAACATTTGCGTACCATCTCTTTTGCCCTGCAGCAGCTTGTACATGAGGCTGGTGAACCACGGAGCCTGTGTGTGAGTCCCGAGAGCTGCAAACCACATTTGCCAGTCCAACCTGGGCTGGTGAGGGGTCACCACAGAAGGGGGTGCACTTAGGTTGCCTGGCTTATACATGAACTCAATCTCCTACAAGGGAAAAAAAAAAATTAGCAGTACAGTCCTGTCATCATCAACAGGCATATTTCGATCCTGTTTTCGTCCATGATAACTTTTTTCTCTCACCGTCCACGACACTCCATCGTTGCTCCCCTCAATGACAACCTCTGGCCGCCCACTGACCCCGGTCATCCTCCTGAACAGGCCGTATGAGTTGACCAGCTGGTAGCGATCCACCAGCTCGTAGGCCTGGCGCACTCCCGGCCACAACCTGGCATTAGAGTCAAACTCTATGTAGCTGAATGGCACCTGGTCAGAAAGTTGTGAAATTATATTATTACAACAGACAAAGGGGGACGAAATATAGCCAGGGATAAACACAGATATTTTGACACCAACACCAAATGCTGATCAATCCAGGTTCAACATGACACATTATCTTTATGATACGAAGTTCAACCATTAATGTATTTCCAGCAGCACCCACCAGACTGATAGTGAACATAGCAGCGGTGGCAGCAGCAAACACGGTCCACTGGACAGTTCCACAAAACCTCTTCAGAAAACCAGAGACACAAGCACACCTAAAAAAGAAAACACATTATATATGTTATTGTTGTACTTCTGCCACACACACACACACAGGGAGAATCCTACCTGAACATGGATGTGATCATCTCCCAGGTGAGTGAGAGGACACCAATCCAGATACAGGGGATAGTGACAGTCTTCAGAAACTGGTTAAACTGGTGGTATGTGAATGCTGCAAGAACGCAAAATTTAAACAAAAAAATGCACAAAATTCTATTCACAAACATTGCACACTCACACAACCACTAACAGAAACACACCTATCCTGGAGGAGACGATTTTCTTTGTTGTATCCAGCTGAAGGTCGAAGCACAGAACTGCTCCAAAGATGATGAGAGACCAGACTGCCAGCTCCAGCAAGTAACACAGCCACGACCACAGCTTGGAGTCTGACCAGATCAGAGACAGAGAGAGAGAGACAATGGAACAACCAACTCGCCGGTCCAAATTCAAGGCCTTTTTAGTGTGGGTCCCTCTGTAGGGCAGGATATAAAATGATTTACCATTTAAAAACTTCAGAAGTGGGAATCGTGATACTGATTTTCCTTATTTTTCTACACTTGTTTGTGCAGCCTACATAGCCGGTATGATTATCATACCGTTGTTGGTGATCTTGTCTGCCTTGCGTAACCAGAAGTGTACGTGCTGGTCGTCCAGAAGCGACAGACAGAGGGCCAAAGTCAGCAGGTTGAAGAAATTGTAGTTGCCAGTCAAAATGATGAGCACTTGAAGAAGCACCTACACAAGAAATAAACCCAAAATTAACCAAGTATTTCTTCCACCACATAACGAGGTGCTTATTCTGATTTTACTAAGCACAATGCTTTACATGCAAACTCTTGCTAATTGTAGATTATTGTTTAGTAACTTTCCATCTAAACATTAACCACTGTACAACCCGAGGTGAACCCTGCATTAAGAAATGTTAACCTAAAGTT